CAACGACCCTCACTCACCACCCCCATACTGCCATGGACATGGACAGAGGCTCCTGGTGGCCATGTGTTTGCTATGTGAGCCCTCTGTCTCCATGGCTACAGATGATGAGCAGCAGCAGACCCACAGTGGACCACAGCCTCTCCCACAGACTCAGTGACTGGACCTGGACCATACAAGCTTAGGAGCGTAGGATAAAAGGCATCTTTCATCAGAGCAATCTGGACTGCACACAGAGAGGTCATAGAGAAAAGGAAAACATGGTCCACAATCTCTTTAGTCTGGTCCCAGACGCCAGTCCCGCTCCGTTTGAGTCTGAGTCTCACCCCGTACCCTGCAATAAAGTCTGCTTTAAACAAGCTGGCGCCAGAACAATTCTATTACTTGCCACCGGAGAAGTCTGAGTCAACACTGAGCCAGACATTCGTGTACTCAACTGATGTTCATGGAGAGCCCAGGAGGGCTGGGATGTGCTTGGCACTGCGGGAATGAAAGCGAGAACAGGACATGATCTCTACCCTCAGGGACCTTGCAGGCTAGTGTGGGACACAAACAGGTCACTCGAAACCAACGCATTAAGTGTGGTGAAAAGGATACCGAGCACCATGAAAGGGCAGAGAGCCAGGAGAGCTTCCTGGAGGAGGGGAGCTTGAGTTGAATCTTAAATAGGAGGATGCCACCCACAGTAGGGAAAGGATGCTCCTGACAAAGATGACCATTTGCCCAAAGTGGGGTGGGGGATAGCCTGGTTTGGGGAGAGAACATGCCCGACAAAGTGTCCTAGGTAAAGTGAGGGTGTGCGAAAGGGAAGAGAACAGTCTCTGGCCTCGAGCAGCTTGCATTTGAGAGGGCGACCACACAGAAAGTTTAACACAAGTTGAAGACCACCAAACGAGAGACTTCCAATGATTGCTAAATGAGCAGTGCCTGAATGTCACAGAAGCTCAGAGCAAGGAGATAGCACTTTCAGCTTGGAAGCTGGCAGGAGACTTTTCAGAGCCAACAAAGCTGAGTCAGGCCTTGAGGCACAGCGCAGACTCCAACAGAGGCAGGGCCTGGCCAGGCTCTCACAGACCATCTATTAACAGTAACGGCACTCCACGGAGCTTCGTGCTTCTTCAAGTGCTTTCACACTACGCTCATTTGATGCTCAGAAGTACATTGAGGAATGTAAATAATTGCGATTTACAATTATTGCTATTTACAATTATTACAAGTATTTACATAATTGTAAATCGCAACTATTTACATGGAAAACTGAGACACAGGGTGAGTGCGAAAGAGGTTCAGTCCCTCCCCCAGCCCCACACTTCCCCAGCCAAGGCTCTCCGCCAACTCTCCCGTTACTGGGGAAGAGGACAAAGAGCCAAGATCTCAGAGTAATGCCAACCTTCCTCTGGAGCTTCTGGGCAGCCCAAGTTACCTTCTCCCTTGTGGTGCAATGTGCTTTACTTAAAGACTAAGAGAACGAAATATGTATTTAATTGAATATCTGTCTTCCCTGCATGATTGTAAGTTCCAAGAGGGCAGATAGTATATGAGTTGTTCAGCAATTAAGCTCAGCACCAGGCCCATAATGAGGGGTGTGTTCAAATTCATTTCATGATTGAATGAGACTAAACAGAAGAACAAATGACCCAAAGAGGAGAGAAGAGGGAGAATGACATGCAGGGAGTGAAGCCTTCTGACATTTAGAAGCAAATCATCAAAGCTCTCCTCCTCCTTGCTGACTCCCTCACAAGCCTTCGTATATATATACGTCCAGCAGGCAGGCGGGGCAGGGACCTCGGGAGAGATGCTAAAACTACCAAGGACCAGGTTGTTACCTGTTAACACTGTAGGAAAAGGAGGGTGATGGGAGACCAGGAAGAAACCAGACAGGAGGGTCAGAAGTTACTGTGAGCTCTAGCCATCCCTAGCACAGTGTGTGTGAAAGTTCTTGGCAAACTAAGTAACACCTAAACGTTACGTGTGTGTTTGGGGTCTGAACACTAAGTGCCTGCTGTGATATTCTAGCTGGAGTTCTGCTCAGTAGGAAGAGGTTTCCTGAAGGATTTTCCCCAAGTCTTTCTCAGATCACATTCTCCACTCCCCCTGCGGTTGCCCTCCAATACAACCCACCCCCAGGAGTCAAGTGGGGAACTGTCACCTCACTAGCAACTAACTGCCCACTTACCTTTTAACCTCCATAAGAAAAGGATGAGAGAGAGACTGGAAGGAAAGGGAGGAGGTGGTCAGGAAAGCAGCCCCCACCCCTCCCACAGCCCTCCGGAAAAACTCCCACCACCTCCTGTTCTCATCACCCCTTCCCCCTCCCCCCTCTTCCTCAAACTGGTGAGACTCTGGGTAAGCAACAGCTGATCTGGAGAGGCACAGTCTGTGCCAAGTGCCACAAGCAGTTTCATTTGGCACAGACTATGAAGGAGAAACAGCCCTTTGTTTCACCCACCCGAGGGAATGCCACCAACTCCCTCCTGCTGCACAAATTCCCACACTCCCCTCTGTCAAGGCGGAGAAGGAGCCCTGCAGCCCTTCCAAAGCCGGCAGACAAGAGCTGCCTACCCTATGTGACCACTGGCAGATGTAAAATGCAGAGCCGGTTGCCCTGCCAGCTGCCCGCACCACCCCCCCAACCCCCCCCGTTCTCTCCCAAAGGCCACCTTCGGCTGAAGATCCCAGGACACCACTCCTGCTTAAAAACACATAGCACCTCAGGGCCTGTCACTCTGAGCAAGAACCTAGCCTTCAGACCAAGTCCTGGGCCTAGAAGCTCTATTTTTACCCTCTTCATCCCCACAGACTTCCCTGCAGATTCTTCCCTCTCAGGGACAAAAAACAAACTTCAAGCCGCAGTAGGGACACGACAAGCCCATGACAGGGGATTGCTCAGAGCAAGGGAGGATTGTTAAGCAATTCAAGACAGGGCGGGCATGTCTCATCCCACAGCAAGAGCATGGAGCCTGCAAGCACTTTCTACACATCACGTGGCTTGAGTGCTGCCCTGCGAATTTGAGGCAAACTTTTCATTAACAACAACAACAAAAAAGATTTCACTTGTATAAACCCTGACCTCACTTCATGAAGTAGCCTCACACACACAAGCCTGTGTATGAACAATTTGCCAATTCCCTCTGTCAACAGGCAAATGCACACACATCACCCTTGGCCCTCAGTATCTCCTCACAGAGCAGAATTGAATAATGTTAAATCCTGGTTTTCCAAGGAAGAAGGAGAACTCCACGGCAGTTTTGGCTACAACGGAAACCACAGGCTTTAACACAGAGGAGAAATTCCGCAGTATCCTGACCACATGTTTTGTAGAAAGTAAGACAGGGAGTTGTTTTCATCAGGAGCTGCGCCTCTCATCAAAGGCAGTGCACAGAAACATTTTTAAAATACTTAACTCTTAACAAAAATAAATTCCAACAGGAAAAAGAAATCAGGCCCTCACTGTTTTATCATTGTCCTCACAGTGCACCTGAGAAAACCCTTCTGCTCAGATGAAGCTGCTTTCTAATAAAGACAATTCTTGATGGCTTCAGACTGACTCACTCAAAAACTAATTCCCACTCCCACACCCTGTGGCCAGAGAGGTTTTACCAAATCTGACGGAGTACACTTGCACAATATACTGTAGTACGTATCTTCCAATTGCTCTGCAGTGCAGTACCAGCCTTCCCTCTCGGATCACCTGGGCCTCCCCAAACTGCGCAGACGAATACTGCGGCCCCTGAGCTCCCCCCATCGAGAGTCCCCAGAGCTCCGGGCTCTGCCCCTCCCACACTTCCTCTAGGGCACACCAGTCTTCTCCCAGCAGTCAGACACAAGCAGGAAAGCATACCTTCAAATTTCTCTCTTGTTGAGAGATTGCTAATTCTTTTTCTTCTTTTTTCTGGAATAGAGATTCACTAATATCACTTGACTTTCAAATATCCATTTTGTGAAATAATTATACAGATGATATAAATGAAGTACATGTAACCTTGTTACCGTTTTATGACTTCTCTTTGGATTTCATATGTGCCCAAGATCCCCAGACGGCAGAAGGCTGAAGCAGGAATCCCTTCTTGAGTGTTGTTCTGATATCCCTAACTGGACCGGAAGCTCCCCAGGGGTGGAGGGAATCGGTGAATAAGTGTCAAGTACCAACTGTAGACAGCAGTTTGCTTTAATAAGTTTCCTTCTTGTTACAGAACAACAAGGTGGGGGGGGGCAAGGGCAATACACTATTACCCGAAAGAAAACCCCATGTCCGTTATGTCCGCCGCCTATAGGAAAGATGTCTCTCAATGCCAGAGATTCGTGAAAAAGAAAGAAAATGTTTATTTAATGCTATACAAACTTAAAGTAGTGACCTAATGTCTTCATCAAAATCCCAAAGTCTCTTAAAACACCCACAAATACATACAGTCCTTCCTTCCCCCTTTGCCCAGTCTGGGGTACCGTATCTCAGGAAAAGAAATAGAAGTCAGTGGCTCAGGCAGCCCCCAGTTCTTCCCAGTAATCTGTCTCGGCTGGGAGACCTTCCTCGGTTCTCAGCACCCTCAGCTATGTCACCAGGATCTCTGCTCTAGCCACGTGGTCCTCTCTCAGGGCCACGGGAGTCCCCACTCAGCCAAAACCATGCGGTTCTCTCTCTCAATGGCTGCCGTATCTGGCTTTAAATCCCTGAGCCAATCTTCCTCTGCAGCCCCATTTCCGACTCCTCCGACCCTCAGTTACACCTGCCAGTAATCTTATATTCTTCCAGCTTTACTGGGCTGCCATCGTGGGTCTGGGCAGGTGTGGCCCCATGTCATGGAGCCAATCCTCTCCGAGCTCCCACGCAGGCACTGTAACTTGGGGGACCTGCCCCCTAGTCACATCTTGGGGGGTCCCTTTCCATCCCCCTGGCACAGAGCATGGCCATAGCTATTTAGCATATGTAAGCGACCAGCCAAAGGCTATAGGTATGTTAAATGACCATACCATGGATTAACTGCAAAGCTGTTGCTATACAAAACAGCCCTGCATGTTCTTGCTCCATGAAGGGGTAAAGACATCTTAAAATCTCCTGGACACCTTGAGTTCTGGACCCCATTTCAAATGCCCATTTGGGGTCCCCCCTCTTGGCTGCACCCTGTAACGTTCTGAGTGTATGTCTTTCTTGTGTTACAAACTTAAGATACTCTTAGATATGCTACTATACAGACATACGGGCTGGTGAACAACTCTGGTTGCTCTGAACTCTTTCTTGACAGTTATTTCACACAGGAGGGTGGGACTGAGCTCTCCGATTTATAACTTCATAATTTCATGGAGTGGAGAATCCAACTCACCACTCAGGCTCCTGCAGGTCTGACAGCTGAATTATCTCACACAAAGGACAGCGTCTCGCTCCCCAGTCTCAAAGCCTGCCACTGCCCAGTGGACAGTAACCATTGTGAGGCACAACATGGCCCAGGGTCACAGGCTATTAACTTTAACCTGTGACTTCTCCCACTCCAACTCTGGGTGGCAAAGTGCTCCATGAAGCCCATCCAACATTTAATGGCCCATCAGGAAAAAGCATGGGTCCAGCAAAACAGCAACAAGTATTCTCTCTCCTGGTAGGTAAATTTAGACACACTTTGTTCAATATCTGTTTCATTCCAAATGGCACAAAGAGAAAAAAATGTAAGTCCTTTATTTAAACCTATTTAGCAAAACGAGGCCTCAGAGAAGCAGTCAGCTTAGATCTAAACAAGTACTGCATCAACAAAAGCCAAATCCAAGCTCTCAGCCAAAGGAAGTTATTCTTCACTCCAGAAATAGACTTCAGAAAGACTCTGACCTGGGGCTAATTAGAGGGAAGAGGGACAGGGTGTGGTTATGCACTGCTGATTAAAGCACCTGTACCCTCCCTGCCTGAACTGCTTTAGAAACTCCAACAACCCTTCTAAAAATTGTATTCAGAGTGGAACTTTGTTCTTCTCTGTAACCAAAAGATGCTGCTCACAACACAGCGACAACAGGTCTCCTGATTAAATAATTTTACTGGAAAAGAAATTACAGTTTGAGCACCAAAGCAAGAATCCTGTTTTCAATCAGTTTAGATCACGCCCCACAACGAAATGTTCAGGGTGGACCTGGCAGGCTGTCCACGGCTGAAGTTCAGGCTGAATGTACCGGGGTCCCACAGTGTTTGTGCCACAAGTCGATGGCCTTGCTCACAATCGCATCCGAGCTGTCCTGGGGAATCTGTGAACAAGCAAACCAGTCTTCATGAAACCTCAGCGTTTCCAGCTTCAGGACCCCTTCCTTCACTGAGGCATGAACCTCACGTCCAACAGCGTTCTCACTGTGATCATGTAAAAGGCTGCTGCCAGGATCTTTGTTTCACATGCCACCTGAGGTGTCAGGCTGCCTGGGTTCAGATTCTGCACTGCCCACTAAACTGTGTGCCCCTGGGCAGGTTTCCTTAGCTACCTGGGCTCAGGTTACCTAAACTACCAGGGGTCAGACCCCATCTCTAAAATGGGGCAAATGGCAGCCCCACTCCACCAGGCTGTTACAGGATTACATGAGATATTCCATGTAAACCACTTCACAAAAGCCCTACGGCACTGCTAGCACTGATTATTACAGTGATTGAGTAATTTGTTCAACACACATTCACTTAGTACTCATTATTTATCAGACCACTGTTCAAATGTTAATATTGACTGATACAAACAAAGAATAGATTTTGGATCCAGTGGAATTCCTTCAGGCATGAGTCTCTTTACTCCTACCTCTTGCCTGGTTAAGGGTATTCTAAGACACAAACAGAGGGAAAAACCGATTCATTTACACCTTTTCCAACATGCACGAAGTTTATGCTTAAGCACATTTCCAAACCCAACTGGGATCCCAACAACTATGGTAACAGAAATGAAAGAGCTTGTCAATCCCCAAAACTCCAGGATTCCTCTTCCATTAACAAGGATTACCCACCCTAACGGGACAGACTCACCTCTTCCTCTTCTTGACAAGCCCCTAGTAGACCCATCAGGGAACAGGACTCTGGGGCTGAGTGCACACAGCCACAGTGACAGCCTCGCTGCCCAGCCCACTGTCCCCAAATAGAGAGTGCAGCCTATAACCCACTGATCAACTGGCAGCTAAACGTTTTCAAGGGAAGATTTCTTTCTTATGACATAAAAATACACTGTGTTATTTCTCTGAAATAATTTAATGCAATAGGAAAATCTAGCTTGCTAAGCTAACTTCCTTTCTAGATTCAAAATCAAATAAAATAAAATACACTTACATTTTCCAGGAACTTTGTTATCTTCTCTGAGTTGTTCAGTGCCATTACTTTTATTTTAAAGGTTAATAAAATTTCCACTGCTACAAAAACTAGGATCTTACAAGATCCACTTACAACTTTATCCCAAACCCTACAAAAATGAAGAGATATATAATCAAATTATGTGACATTAAAATTTGTCTACCTAGACATCTCAAATTATAAAATTAAATCAAATCACTCCTGTTTTAAGTATAAGCTTCACAAAAGAACTATAATGAAATAATCATCAAAAACAACAAATCAGCCATTTGAAGCCTATTTTAAACACATTGGGAGGAAAAAAGAAATGATCACCCAAAAGTACTTGCTCTGCTAGGAATCAATCTACAAAATGCCCACTCCTTAGTATTTCAGACAAGCTCAAGAGCGTTCACGGTGGTACGGCCGTAGACACCCACTCCTTAATATTTCAAATTGACAGCTTCAAGAAGGAAAGAAAATCCCTAAACTGAACTTTAGATTTTACTAATATTTTGTAATTCTAATATAATCACAACATTATAAGGAACAACAAAAAAAGCATATGAAATGAGATAAATTCATTTTCCAGAGGTTCAAATTCCTTCATCTTCTCCATGGGCTTAAGGGGATAGTTATTGCTATGCAACCACTCTAAAATAATTGTTCTGATAATTCCCATAACACTTAAGGTTAGTGTTACACTCTGTGCTCAGTTACCCATTGTCTTATAATGTCTTCTGTTTATTGCCTCGCTTTGCAGCTACATCCTTACACACTGGAAGGAGAGGGCCAGGACTCCAAAACATGCATAACAAACGTCTGAAACTAATGCTGTTTTAAACTTAAAGATTCAGTGTTTGAGGCTCAAATCTTTGACTGCCTTTAGCTACTTGGAAGATGTCATAATGAAACTAAAAAATACCGAGATGTTCTCTAAATTAGGATCTATTGCATTTCTAGAAAAGGCCATGCCTATGTAAACTCCTGCAGACTGTTTCAGATATAAATATTGTACAGCATCTAACACATTGAGGGTGCTTGATTTTTGTAATTGTATATTCTACTATTTTTCAATATTAATTTGTTACTGTTAAATTAATATTTGTATTCTAACAAACATAATCGTGTGTTGTTATATTAGCTGCTAGAGAAGTTAACTTTAAATTACTATGTTGTTCTAAAGCAAATTTATATTCTGAGGGATGATCACATGAAAAACCAGGATTCCTCTCTGATCCAAGCCCTCATTCAGTGTATCGTTGAAAGAAATACTTGCCTCTGTAAACTGGATTCAGGCAAGCAACCTGCGAAGCACCTCTTGAACCAGAGGTCATAAGGAAGTTTGGGCACCGCAGAACACATCTTCAGATGACTCAGCAGCCTGCTGTCTTCCATGTTCAAGTACTGTTCAAAAGCCTTTGGCTAATGATAAAACAGGAAGAGATTATTCATTTCCTGTAACGTGATATCACCTGATCTTACCATCTGTGCTGAAAAAAAGTACATGACAAGTGCTAGAAAACAAAATTTCAGAATCATCCAAGTCCCTTGTGATGCTGCAGTTTCCTAAGTCAGCAAAACCAGAGCAACTAACATCCAGGACTGAGGGGTTTTCCAGGACAGTCCCAGGTAAAACAGAACAGCTGGTCACTCTGTTAATTGCACTTACCAGACTGACCAACCTAAGGCAAAAGTCCAAAGCAAAATTCAATTGTTCTGGGGAGCTTACAAAGGCTCCAGGGCAGTAGATTTTATATACAGGAAAAAAGGGGAAAAGGCAAGGGGAGAGCCAAAGAATAGAATGTCACTAAAGTGGGAGAAAGAGCTAGGAAGAAGACAGAAGAGCTGAAGATGAAAAGGGCCCATCAGTCACTGACCATACACACGCTGAGCCACGGTGAGCAGAGCTATGCACCATACCATGTGGGCTCATCCAACACGGATATACCCAAAAAAATGTGCATGAGAATTCTTAGGGGAATAACCCAGAGGGAACCAAGTACCTGGGTTCCATCAGGTAGCCTCCCCCACATGAGATATAAGCAGCAGCCAACTGTAGAACACTGGGAGGCTAACAAAGGCGGCTCCCTGGACCAGGCATACACTGCTCTAATTCAGGGTCCACTGGCTACGGATGGGCCTTAAGGTCTGTACTCCCTATCCAGAAGGGCACAACCAGATGTCTTGCCACCCAAGCACACACAAATGTTTATTTTACTAAATATCTGCCTCTCTATGCTTCTGCCCAAAAGGTAATTCAAAATTGTACAGTGTCCATGATAGCCAGACACTGTGCTACACACAGGAAATAGAAGAAAAGATGAGGTAAAGTCCCTGTCTTGAAGGAGCTTACCGTTGGTTGACAGAGCCCAGGAAAGAGGTAATTAAAAAGTACTGTAACAAAGCTATGACAGGGATAAGCACAGGATGCTGGGCACATCCAGGTGGGAATCCTGACCCAGGCTTTCGAAGCCAGAAATGGTCTCCCTGAGAGGAGACATGTGAGCTGGCCCATGAAGAACACACAGGAATTAGCCAGTCAAAGCAAATCCACATATTAATATCTGGTCCAGTTTCCCCGCCTCTCTTTCAGAGGGTCTCTAATTTTTCCTGTTTATACAACTAACCTCTACTACTTAACAGTTCCTAGGGCTTCTCAAGAACTCTACACACAATTCCCCAAACCAGGAGCTTTTCTCTAAAGTACAAATTGCCAAAGGGCTCCTGTTCTTGCCTTTCACCTCTGAAACTCCATTCTAGAATTTTGGTCGGGTCTGCCAATGATACATATGTGTGCTTTTTCCACAAAGTGACATGGATAAAAACATATACACACACATTTATATATTATGTCTCAAAAACTGTGAGACATAAAAGATAAAAGAAAATTTCATCCAAAAGGTAGTACAAATAAATAAAATATATATGAGTGAAGATTTCAAACTATGGTGTTGTTCCTTTATCAGACTGCAAGCTCAGTGGGGGCTGGGACTTTATCTGCTTTGTTTACTGCTGGTTTGCCAGTACCTAGAACATCACGAGGCATAATAAGGACTCAATATACTACTGAATGAATAAATATTGTGAATTAAATGAAACTTGAAATATATTAAACATCTTAATAATCATTCAATGTTTATCCTTTAGCCAGTCTTAAATTCTTCCAATGTTTTTCCCCAATTTATAATATACTTATTATAATAAATCTCAAAAATACAGGAAAGAATAAAGAAAGATCACTTATAATCAATCACACTACCCAAAGATAACTATGTGATGATGGGTTATGTAGCATTCACTTGTTTTCCTGTATACACTACACACACACTTTTCTTTTACCAGCTGAACTCATACTGAATATACAACTTAGTATTGTGCTCTTTGCATTCAACATATTGTGGGTATTTTCCCAAGTTAACAAACAACCTTAAAGGGTGAATACCTTAAATAAAGAGAACTCCTAAAGCTAGAGAAGAAAAAAGCCACAAACTCTATAGAAAAAAATGCAAATGGCCCTTACCTATATGAAAAGGTCTTCAGTGTTACTTATAATAAAAGAAATGCAACCTAAAACTACACTGGGGTAGTTTCTCACCTACAGACTGGCAAAACGACACACCCTGTTGGCTAGGCTGTGGGAAACAGGTGCTCTCATCTACTAGTTGAGAGGATGCAAAACAGCATAAACTTTATAAAGAGGAATATAGATATTGCTAGCAAAGTAATGTATGTATTACCCTTTGATCCAGTCAGTTCATTTCTAGGGAATCTATCCCAGAAATAGGCTGGCAAATACATGCTGGAAAAAAACCAAACAAACTTTTTGGCCAACCCAGGTTGGCTCTAGTAGTGCTTAGTTTTCTTTAACTTCATTTGAAACAATTTTGTTAGACTGTATTGTGACAGCTGTCATATCAGCATGCGTTTTTTAAAATACTTATCAAAATTGGTGAATTTTTGTGTAGCCATTTTAATATTGAAGATGGAGGAAAATAAGCAACATTTTTCGGCATATTACGTTTTATTATTTCGGGAAAGGTAAAAATGTGACTGAAATGCAAAACACAAATATTTGTGCAATGTAAGGAGAAGGTGCTGTGACTGACTGAATGTGTCACAAGTGGTTTGTAAAATTTCATGCTGGAGATTCCTCACTGGACGATGCTCCATAGTTAGGTAGACCAGTTGAAGTTGAGAGTGATCAAATCAAGACATTGAGAACAATCAACATTATACCATGTGGAAGATACTTAAAATATCCAAATCAGTAAAGTTACTGGTGAAAATGAAAACTGTCTCTTTTATTTTATGAAAAAAACACACAAACTTTTTGGCCAACCCAATATAACACTGTATCACAGCAAAAGACAGGAAACATCCCAAATAGCAAACAACAGAGGATAGGTTGAATAAATTAGCGTGTATATACATGATAGAGTAGTATGCACCTATGAAAAGGAATAAAGAATGTCTCTCTATACTATTACGGCAGGACCTCCAGCATGTACAAAGTAAAAACGGTGGACGAACAAAAATGTGTATCATGTACTACTGCTAAATGAACAAAAATATACACACACTTTTTTTGAGAGGAAGGAAATAACATTCATAACACCTGAAATTTTAGTACTCAGCAAATTGTAGATGTGATTATTATACTTTACTGTTAAACATTTAGGTTATTTCCAGTGTTTCCATGACCCTAAATTCTTACTTCATAGAGAAAATAAAGCATACCTCATCAACAGAAGGCAAAACCTGACCAAAAAGAGACTTAAGTAACCCAACAGGGATTTATATTAAACTGAAAAAGAGGCTGCTAATCATGTTCATCAAAAAGAAACAAACAAAAAGCCTTTCTTTAGGATAGCTTTAAAAAATTGTAGCCACAGTGTGAAAGAAAAGTTCTCTTTAGTGGCTAAACACAATTAAGCTTCAGATAACTTAAGGATAGACTGCTCTGAAAAAAGAAGTAAACATAGTGTCTCCACGTCACAACACTGAAGTTGGCCTCTATTCTTGGCAGTGAGAGGCCTCATTAAAGAGCAGAATTTCTAAAAGCTTGTAAGCAGAGGAAAAGATGTGATGTACTCCTACAAATCAGAATACTACAACATAGTAAACATGTCACCACCAGATATTATGCTTTGATGTGAAAGGCCCATTGCTGTCCATCACACGCATGCTTCCCTAGGACTATAAAAAAAACCTATGCTTTGTGATCATCAATTTACTTGGTAAAACCACAGAAACTTGGAAAGATGATGTACAAGATTACAGAAACTCTAACAAGAAGCTAGGAAGAAGAAACCCACTATAAAACAGTAATAAAAAGTGGCAAAGTTGACTAAACACTGTTTAACAAGAGAGAAACACTGAAGTAAATCACTCAGTGCCTAAATCATAGATCTATGTAGAGGAAATTTAGCTTTTCTTACACATTCTGAAGAACTTTAAAAAAACTTCACAATTATTTAAAACCATGTGCTGGGTACTACAATGTACATAATAAAATAAACTTACTTGAAGATTAACAAATTAAGGTTATGGGGACATTTAGTATTGTGCTGTTTTAAAGTTCATTTTTGAAAAGAAAAAATAAAGTTTAACATAACCAAGGCACTTCTGAAAAAGAACAACAACAAGAGGGCACTTCCCACACCAGCTATCAAAATATCCTTGGATGCTGTATCAAATACATCACATGGTATTGGCCCCAGAACAGACAGCTAGCTCAGTGGTTTTTAAAAAAAGAGTCCAGAAAGAGATACAAATATACATATATGGAAATCTAGTATATGATAAAGGTGGCATTTGAAATCTGTAAAAACAGATGAACTAACAAATAAGTAATGAAAGTGGTAATTCTATTGCTTACTAACTGCAACCTTGGGAAAGTTACTTAACAGCTCTGTGCTTCACTTTCCTCATCTATTAAAAGAGGTATGTTTTTAAATGAAGTAATTCATTAATAAAGCCAAGTGAGTATTGTCTGGTACGAAGCACACTCTCAGGAACTGTTAACCAGAGTGGGGGGAGCAGGAAGAGTATGCAGGCTAAAGTTGTGCTGCAGTTAACAACTGAGAAACCAAGTCCACAAGGATGAATCCCGTACAAGTTAAAGGACTAAATTTTATAATGTTTAAATATTTTAAAAAGTTAGAGGAAAGTTTTAAAAAAAAAACAGTTTTTGTGTTGCAGCTGCCATTGCACCACCATCACTCTCTAATGCCAGCGCTGCCTCTAGCTGGCTGAGCCCTGGCCAAAGGAGAAGCAGGTAAGTAAGGAGGTCTCTGGACCATGGCTCCTACAAAGCAGACTGCCTGCAAACTGACAGGTGGTAAGCACCAAGGAACCAACTGGCTACCAAAACTATAAGAGTGTGTGGAGACCTCATCATTACAGGCTTGGTACCACGGCAC